GACTGAGACCTGGGCCCTTGCTGGCAGCCCCAGGAGGACACCTAGAATCCATGATCAAATCATTCCCGGGCCGGCCGAATGGCTCAGTTGGTTAAGAGCTCACTCAAGAGTGTGAGCCCTAAGTAACAGGGTCACCGGTTCGATTCACAGCCCAAGCTGAGCTGCCGCTGAACTGCCAACAGTTGGCAGGATGGCTCAGCTAAAAAAAAAAAAAACTTGTCTGTTCCCCTTCCCCCAATTCCCCAGCACTGTTCCCATCCCCCCAATTCCCCAATAAAAATCTTAAAAAAAAAAAAATCATTCCCAGACACAGGCTGGGAGCAGAGAGCGGCAGACAATGGGGCTGTGACCAGGGGCCAGGGCTCACCCGCCCCCCCAACCCCACCCCCCTGCTTGGCAGCACTCTAAATTTCTCTGGGGCTCAGGACCAAGGGACCCTGCAGGGGAGTTCCCTGGGCAGGGAGAAAGGGCAAATGGGTACAAGGAGGACTTGGCCTCAAGGGGCTGCAGCAAAGGGGTCTGCTGGGCACAGAAGGGCCCCCCTCCCCAGCCAGGCCCCCTGTCCCCCCCACCCCAGTCCTGGGTCCCCAGCTCTGGACTCTAGCTTTCTCCTCTCAGGCTGGCAGTGGCTCCTCGCCTACTCCTGATGTTAGGCGGTCTAACCCTTGGGACAGAGCCGAGTCCCTTGGGGTCATTATTCTCGTTTCTTGCCTGTGCAATCAGGGACCCTGAGGACTGGATAGGGGAGGAGGCTGGTTCAAGCTCACCCAGCACATCAGCAATGGCTGGCCCTAGGCGGGTGCCCTCTGCAGGGGGTGGTCACAGTTAAAACAGCACCATCAGGACTCACATTCCCAAGGTCTCCTATGAGAGGAAGGCCCTTCGCCCCGCTTTCTCCTCTTAGAGCCACAATTCTTGTTCCCTCTGTGCAGATGAGAGTGGCCGCCAGGGCTGTGCTAGCCCAGAAAAGAGGCTTCCGGAGGAGGGAGGACCGTGGTGACCCCTGCCTCTCTCTGGGTGTTTAACATGTAGGTGCACAGTGAGGGGCGGGGGCAGGTGAGTCGAGACTCACTCTCCAGTGGCCCGGGCTCCACCACGGACGCCGCATGTCCTGGCTAAGACCCATGCTTCTGCACAACATGGCGGCTGGCATCTGGGCCAGGGGCATGGAATCAGGCAAGCGGGGACCCGCTGCTCACGCCATGGGTCCCACCTCCTGCTGGTCCTTCTCTCACCTCCTCACGTGCCACGGAGGTGCAGCCCCCATCACCCACCCTGAATGATTGTCCCAGCCTCCTCACTGTCCCTTGTCCTGCACACTTGCCTTTCTGGCTGTTCTCTACTTAGCAGTGAGGGGGTCTTTCTAGTGACAACCAAACTCTGTCAGCCCCGGGCTTAAAGCTCTTGAGGGTCTCCCCTGCCCCCTGAACCACGACCTGGCTCTCCCGGTCTATCCAGCCCTAGAGAAGGGGCTGTAGGGGGTGGAAGGGCCCAGGGCCAGAGGAGGAGGTGGGGGGTGGAGAGGAGTGTGCAGGCTCGCAGAGGCTAGCATAGATGATGGTCCCTGGAGGTGCGGGGGGCAGCCCTGGGGACTGGCTGCCCGAGCAAGGTGGGTCCTAGCAGGGGCTGCAGTGCCGTGTTGCCTGTTGGGGCTCGTGTGACCCAGCCAGAAACAATGGGACTCATCTTCCTTCCGGAGTGTTGCTAATGATGGTTTTTAATGGCCGTGCCTGGGAAGGGATGACCTCACTCAGGCCGCACCCTGATGAAAAGAGGCTGGAGTCAGAGGCAGGCGGCTCCTCAATCGCTATGAGGCCTGCTTGGTCTTGTTCTGTCTGAGAAATGAGGAGGCTCTGTGTGTGTGTGTGTGTGTGTGTGTGTGTGTGTGTGTGTGTGTGTGTGCGCACGCCCATGCATGTGTCTCTGGTCCTTCACAGGGCCAGAGGGAGAAGGCTCCTAGCCTGATGGGGGAGGTAAGACCTGGGTGGAAAGACTCAGGGCAGCAGGGCAGGGAGGCTGAGCTACGCTGTCTCACTCTATGCCACCCCATCAGGAGCCTCGCTTTCCCTATCTGTACAGGATTTGGGGGAGGGGGTGGTAAGCAGGGTGATTCTGGACCTGCCCTGGGCTCTCAGGTCTGCTGAGTACCAGGAGTCAGATGGGACCGATCCCAGGAGGCCTCTGGGAGGAGGTGAGAGGGCTGTACCCAAGTGAGGCCCGGAACAAGCAAGGGAAATGTGGCAAAGATCAGACCAGACACCCCCCTCATGCAACCCAGGCTCCTGAGTTAACCAGAGATTAATATGTTCACATCTTCCCTCTCCCTCCAGAGATACCTGGCTCCCCCGTCAGGCTCTCTGGCTTCTGTTAAGGGCTAGGCATGGGCTGGTGTTTCCGACCACATTCACACTGACTGCAGAGCGCAGGCTCAACGCAGACAGTGTCGGGGGCAGGCTTGAGTGTGCCAGGCAGCGGTGGCAGCAGGGGATGGGTCAGGTGCCACCATGGGCTTGCTGCCGCCCCCACTCCGCCCTATTCATAAGAGATGTCTATGATTGTACTCTGGGGAAGGCCCTGTGTGGAATGGCCACCCTCCTGAGGGCTGCCTCCCCTCCCCCACGCTCAGCCTAGGGAAATATTTCCCACCCTAGAGAAGTACTCACGTCTTTCATGGTCTCCTTGTCAGACCCCCTGCAAGGTGACTACTCTGCAGTGCTACAAGTTCCTTCTCACGTCTCGCCTTAGTCACTCTGCTGTTGCACCTGATTCACTTATCAGAAGACAAGTTGAGGGCCCCATTATCCTGCCACCCTGCCTGACATCACTGAACTCCCCTGGGGCGTGTTCCCACTCTTGGGACAGCCCATCCAGCACAGGAAATGGCTGCGGGATGAATGTGCCAGTGAGTGAGCGAGTGAGCGAGTGAGTGGCGCAGACCCTCCTCCCGTGAGAGCACCAAGAAGTGGCTAAGAAGTGGGTGAGAGTGTCTCTGGAAACTGGGCTGAGATGGAGACAGAAACAGGGACCCAAAGGGGGGCAAAGGGTTAGGAGGGTCAGGAGGAAAGAGATGGGACTGAGGGCGAGGGACAAAGCAGATTCTGCCCCGAGAGCCGGTGGCCAGGAGCTCAGGGGACACAGGCACCAAGGCCCTCAGCCAAAGATGGCCTGGGACGTACACGGCTCACAGGGGGCCAGCACAGGAGGAACAGGGTGGGATAACAGGAGCTTGGACTGGACCACGAGGCAGGCCGGAGGGGCCATGAAGCGAGGACCTGGGACCCAGGGTGGAAATGAGTCTGCAGTAAGCATGACCTAGCCCGAGGTCACAGAACGAGGACCCAAGGTCACAGAGTGAGCCACCAGCCATGGCCTGGCCCTTTGTTCTGACCAGAAGGGAACCTCAGCCAGCCACAGTGCTGAGGTGCAAATTTCTCTGTCACTGAGGGTGACAGAGGCCACCTGGCCTGGGAAGGGCCCCGTGGGGGTGGCCTCTCTCCTGAGGGCTGCCTCCTTCCATCCTGTGCTTGGGCACGCTGGCACTGCCAGGCACTTACTCAGCCTGTCGAGTGCCCAGCCCCCAGCCCGGCGCCCGCGGGCTTCCCCAGCCCTGGACAAGGGCAGTGAGAGGGAACAAAGGCCCAGTCTCTGCCTGCTCAGGCCCCCACCCCCTTGCCTGCCCCTGGCACAGAAGGACCAGGGCCCCGAGGAAGCCCAAGAGTAAAAGTAGTTAGCACCCACCCCTTGGCCAACGCCGCGAGAACCCCCCACCCCCTCCCACAGGCCTGCTGGTTACACAGCAGTGCTCCCCTATTCTACAGACGGGAAGGCTGAGTGACAGGGGTGAGGAGCTGGCAGCCACACAGCTGGGATTCGAACCCAGGTCCCCTGGCTTACAGAACCCGCCCTCTTTCTGTCGTCATATGCGTGAGGTGTGCCTTGTTGGTAAGAGGTCACTCCAGGCAGAGATGGGGCAGGGGCAGAGAAGGTAGGGCCTGGACAGCTCAGCTGGGAGAGTCCTTGGAAAGGGGCTGAGTTGCTCTGACCCTTCCAGCCCTGCCCACCTACCTACCCACCTACCCAGGGCCAGTCCAGCGCTGGTCACAGTGGAAGGGATAAAGCCAGGTGAGAGGAAGAGAGGGGGAAACTGAGTCAGCACCCAGGACTCCTAGTCCCCGACAGGGGCTCAGTCAATCCAGCTAGAGGCCGAGGAAACATCCGCCTTTCTGAAGCCTCCAATGCCCCATCTTGAACATGGGCTGTGTTGCCCACTGGGGGCCACTCCCCCAGGCTATGGCCACAATCCTTCTCTAGGTCCCTTTCCTACTCCTGCCCACAGCCTGGCCATGAGTCCCCAGAGGGGACTGCAGGGATGTCCGATTCCTCCCTGCAGGCCCAGCCCCAGGCCAGGAAATGAACACAAAAAGCACTGGGCATCTGGGTGTGATTGGCCCCACTTTATAGTGGTAGAAACAGGCTCAGGAACCTGTCAGAGGCCACCCAGCTCCGAAGGAGCAAAACAGGGCTGACCCACCCCTGACCAGGTTTCACGCCCCACTGGTGTCCCAGGGTCTGTGGGGGAAGGGGTAGAGGGTGACAAATGTCCCACCCACAGGAGCAGCAAGAGAAGGGCCAGGGCCCGGGCGGCAGGGGACACAGCCCTGCAGGGACATGGACAATGTCCAAGCAGACAGCCTCAGTGATTCCTGGTGAGCAGGGGCTCAACTGGGGGACTCTAAGTCCCCATCTCCTGTCAACCAGTCAGAAAAGGCCCACAGAGAAAGCCGACGCCCCTGCCCGCCAGTGCGAGGGCTGGGGACGTGCCCACATGCAGCTTCTCCCAGGCCCGGCTGCTCCCTCTGCTGCGGGGACTTCTGATGGGTCAAAGCAAGTGCCAGGCAGACCCTGGCCACCCCCTTGCACAGGGCACGCGCTGGGATGCCAGCCACGTCCCTTCTTGCCTCCCCTAGCCCCTGGCACTTATCAGACACAACTCATTTTAAAGAAAAAATAATATTTATTTGCAATATAAACAAAGTCCCGTTGCTGGTTCGGGATATATATATGTATGTGTACATATGTAGGGTCACAAATTTTCCTTCATAAGATCATAAAGCAAAACTGGCCACCCTCTTGGCAAACCCTCATTTACACAAATCAGATGCATCTTTCTGGGTTTTTCTTTTTAAAAGTAAAAAAGAGAGAAAGAGAACCATGTACAGCATGGAAGCTTTTTGTCAATTTCTCGACTGTGGCAAGATTTTAATCCGCTGCCTTTAAAGAATCCCTGAAAACAACCCCTGTGAGGTAAGACGCAGTGCGGCGGGCAGGGGGCTGTGGCCTCGCTCACGGGCCGAGCGCTGGCTTGCTCGGGGGACCGGCCCGGCGGCTCCCCATGCCCGGCCCCCACGCAGTCCTGACACCTGGTAGAACTGAGGTTGGAGAAGGAACAAAACTGGAGGAGGATAACGGAATCCGTGGCATTGTTCTATGGATCTGGGGGTGGGAGTGGCAGACGGAGCCTCACATCCCTCTCACGCGTCCATCCTCGCCCCTCTGCGCCTGCCCCAGGACTGAAGTGCGTGCGAGGTTCCGGTAGTAGAAGGCATGGGCGAGACGAGCGCTGGGCAGGCTTCCACGGGGACAACGGGGCTGGGAGTGGCAGCTGGACCAAAGCAACAGCCAGGGTGAGACAGAAACTTGGGGAGCAGGGCTGGGCCCCCACCACCTAAGATTCCCTTAGCCCCTGGGCCTCCGCTCTCAGTTACAAACAGAGAGAGAGAAAGAGACAGAAGTAGTGAGTCTGTATAGAAAAGGGCCCGGGGCCCAGGCCCTCCTAGGGGCCGAGCCCAGAGGGCTAATGCTACTGCTTGGCAGTCCCCCGTGGCCCCACCGCCAGCAGGGCAGCTGCAGGGCCTCCTGTCTCCTGCCTTGGGGACCACCAGGGGAGCGGGGGCAGTTGGGAGGGCAGAGGATGCAAAGGCCACCTGTCTAGCCGACCCATCACAACTTGCAGTGGCCGTCACAGGCCAATGCAGGGCCATGCTGGGCTGGGCCAAGGTGGGAGATGTGGGCCGACTGGGGTCTGACACCGAGAGCAGCAAGCCACTGCTTCAAGGAGGGCCTGCTGCAGAAATGGTGGCTTCACACATGTGCAAAACGCATTTGGTCAAGATCAACACGGGGTTTGTCTTTTCCATTAAAAAAAAAGAAAACAAAAAACCAATAATTGCTTTTTGAAATAGAAAGAAAAACAAAACTGAGAACACTTCTCTCTCTCTCTCTCGTCTCTCTCTCGCAGGATCAAGAAAGGGATGAAATACTGGTTTATACAATCCACTGTTGCATGTAGCCTGAAAATAACACTTTTCATTTAAAAAAAGAAAAATCAGAATGTGAACACTCTCCGCTCCAGGGAGCTTGGATTTACCTGCCGAAAGTAAAAAGTAAACTCAGGTCCATGGATGTCTTTAAAAAATAGCCAAACTGACTGGGCAATCAGCAGAACGGCGGTCCTGGGACAGGGAGGAGGCGCCGTTGGACCCCTGCAGCCATGTGTCCGAGCGCCGAGGGCCTCTCCAGAAAATCCTGCAGGGGGAGGCCTTGCTGTGGGCTCCACCGCCCCAGGATGGTAAGGAAAGCTCGGCCACTCTTCAGCCTGGATCTCGGTGGCGTCCGGGTTCCTCAGGACAGACGCAGCAGGCACGGGCTCGCCCACTCGGCCCTGTGGAGGGCGGGGGAGGGGCCGGCACCCAGCCCGCCTGTGCCCCTGGTCTCACGTGGACTCGAGGGTGTTGAGTGGGAACAGGTTGTGGTTGGTGGGCGTGGAGAAGTAGAGCTGCTCGCTGGGGGTGTGGTTGTCGCACGGGCTGCTCAGCCCCAGCGTCCGCTCGAAGTCCAGCAGTTGTCCCATAAAGTTGAAGTTGGGTGAGATGTTGGACTTTTTCCTTTTGACAAAGTCATAGGCGTCATTGAGTGACAGGTTCATCTTCTGCATCAGGTAGGCCACTGTGACCGTCACGGAGCGGCTGATGCCTGCCAGGCAGTGCACCAGGACACCACACTTCTTGGAGCGGGCCTCGTCTGAAACACATGGGCACGAGTCAGGGAGGTGCCCCCTCCAAGGAGCCAAGCAGGGAGGGCTGGGGCACAGAGGGTAGCGCGGTCACTGGCTGGTGCTGCCTGACTCGAGGGACGTGGTGAATTCCCACATGGGTGAGACCGCGACTTGGGGTCGCGGTCAAGAGCGTGACTGTGGAGAGGGCTCTGCCACTCGTTACCGCCAAGTCACTGGACATCCCTGTGCCTCAATTCGCTCATCTATAAAACGGGCCACCTTATTAACAGTGCTCTTATAAGGACCTGAGCCAAGTGACAGCTCCACAAACACGAGTGACTGTGACGGCTGTACTCACTGCTAGTCCTACTGCTGCTACAATGGTGTGCTATGACTGTGCCGATGATGTTACCTGTACCCTCTCAGGTCATCTGCACCATGGCTAGTAAGCTAATTTTATAAATGAGGAAAAGGACACAAGAGACAAAGTGACCAGCCCAAGGCCACACGGAAGTTCCTCCTAACTCGTCGCACCCACTGCTGCCAGCCCATGACCTGGGGGCGGGGACTGAGCTTGTTTTCCTGGGCACCCCTCGAGAGCCTCCTGGGAGGCCCCTCCACAAGGGAACAGGGGCCCAGCCTGAGGTTCCATAAGTGGGGTTTGCTTACTAGGACCCCCAGCAGGCCCATGTGCCAGTGATATCTCCCACAACCAACCAAGTTCTTTCAAGCCTCCCCTCCCCTCCACCCCTCCTAGCTTGCCCCAGTGCCACTCTCAGACTCCTTTGCCTCACACACAGTAGGAGCTCAATAAATACTGATTCAGCCACTGAACAACTCAGTCCTGTAATCTGTCCTCCCCAGGACCCTAGGGCAGTTGCCTCTCTGTGCCACAGCTGTGCCAGGGACATCGATTAACAAGAGGCAGCCCTGGGGCCCTCAAGCTCCCCACCTCCCTGACCCCAAGCCCACTGGGAGCCCGCACACAGCTGGCACTCAATCAGTGCACGCCTACGAGACGACCCTCAGGGTCGCAGACTGCTCCTCAGCTGGTGCTCACTGCCTGGGGCCTGGGAGAGCTTCTCCTCCTCACCCCCACCCCCACCCCCACCCCGTGGGAGGGCACCCAGGGCTAAGCATGCAGTAGGCGCTTAATCCAGACGTGGGGGCTGAATGGGGACAAGACCAGCAGGGGAAGAGCCAGCTGCTGAGGCTTTGTGTCGAGCCGTGTGGTCTGACCTTGAGATTTGGGGCAGGAAGAGATAATGGACCCAAGTCTCCAGTGGGGACACCAGGATATGGGGAGCGCCTGGCCCCCAAACCCATCCCGGGTGATCCAAAGCGAAACTGTTCCCGCGGGCTTTATTTTTAGGCCTCGCAGAGTGTGGCTGAGCCTTGGGGGGGCTGGAGCTGGATCCTGTCCCACTGCGTCCTACGGGGTGCTTGGGCCTCAATCCTTTCACTCGTCAAATGGGGAATACGGTTCCCCCCTATCTTTACACCCCGTTCTGTCCCCCTCCCCAGATGTAGAGGGCCTTCAAGGAGGATAAAGGCACCCACCAACCAGGCTCAGCCCTGAGAAATCTGGGGTCCCCCTCAAGTCCCCTCCTTGCTGGGGTCAGCACCCCGACCCCAGGGCCACGTCCTCCTGGGCAGAGCTGGGAGCTCCAGCAGGCCCAGTCGCAGCCCCTCCCCCGGCCCCAGCTGCCTTCCTTCCTCCCAGCCAGGCACCGAGTTTTGGTTCCCAGTGAGCGGATGAGATGGGGGAGCCTCCCACTTCCTGTTATTAAAGCTGGCCCAGCCCAGCCCAGCTGACACCAAAACGCCCTCCACTGGACACAGCCGCCAGTTGTAGACGACTGCCCTGGCCACCTCCTCCCTGCCACCGAAAGCTAGGCCAAAACACTGGGTCACCAGGCGCCAAGAACCCAGGATTTCCATTCACCCTGATCGTGTGTCCCTTCCCTGCACCCTGGGTGAGAGGGGACACCACGGAAGAGGCCCTGCAGTCAGCGGCCTCCAGCTGGCGGAGGAGGAAGCAGGGGCAGGGGTCCGAGATAAGCTGACTCACTGAAGCTGGGGATGGAGGGGGCTCTCAGACAGCAGAACACTCTGCTCTGAGGGAGGCCTTCCTCAGCCCCCCCACACACACACACACACATTCTCTCTACACCCCCTATACGCCAAGCAAGCCCCACCGGCTGCCGGGAGCATCTGGGGCCCCACATCCCATTAGCTGCCCATTTGGGGTAGGCCTTTGGCTCCAGACCACCCTTCAGCCCCCTCAGATACACAGTCAAGCCCAAAAGGCACCATGACAGCCCCATTCTGGAGAGACACGTGTGCCGAGGCGTGAAACAGAGCCGGCGAGACCCGTGGGAGGTCTGAGAGCTGCTGCTCAGCCTGAAGCGGCAAAGCCAGAAAACCCAAGCTGGACAGTGGGGGCCATGAGGTGCCGACAGCTGCAGGGAGCCCAGGGCTCAGGGGCCTGCTCTGGCCCCGAGGGCTTCGGTGACTCACAGCAGGCATGGGTACACCCATGGGCACATGCTGGCACATGCAGGGCACACACAGGTCTCCACAGGCCCAGAGGTACCTAGTCAGGAGCGGGTGACACCCAGAGTCCTGTACACACCTTGACACGCCCGCCTACCCGCCCTGCCCAGAGCACAGCAACACCTACCGATGAAGCTGATGGCCTCGGGGAAGAACTGGGAGAGGTTCTGGCTCCAGTGGTCAGAGATGGGGATCTGCTTGTAGGTGAACTCGCCACCGTGCTCGAAGGCGTTGGGCAGGTTGGGCGTGACATTGAGGATGTACTTGATGCCGTACTTGCCGAGCACGTCCAGGTTGGTGGAGTCCTTGGCGCAGCCAAGGTAGAGGTAGGGCAGGATCTGGACGGGGAAGGCCGGCTGGCTCGATGGCACAGGGCTGCCGTCCGACTCGGTGGCACTGCTGGGCAGCTCTCGGTCTGACTCACCATCTGAGCAGTCCGAGCTGATACGGAGGCCCCCCAGGCCCAGCACTGAGGTGGGCGGCGGCGAGCCGCTGGGCGAGGACGAGCTGTCTACGTGGGTCTCGCAGTGCTCCGAGTACTCTGTCTGGAACTTGTTGAAACCACCTGTGGCCAGGGCGAAATTGGGTCTGGGTGAGAGACTGTCGGTGTCACGGGCCAATGACCCCAGTCCAAAGGGGTCACATAAGACCACGATGGCCCCGGGGACTGTAACACCAGCACCAACACCCTAACACCAACAATGGCCAACATGGGCCGTGCCAAATATGTTACACATGTACCTTCTCCTGTTTTCTCTGTATCTATCCTATGACCCACTTCACAGATGAGGAAACCGAGGCCCCAGGAGGTCAAGGAACATGCCTGGGCTCCATACCTTCCTCATAAGGCTTCAAGGCCCCAGCCATCCCTTCAGCTTTAGGGCACCTGAGGACAGGTCCCAGCTCATGCCTCTTCTACAGCCCCCATGTGCACCTGGCACCCATCGGTGCCCAACAACTGCTAAGTGGGAAAGAAAAGCAGACAACCCCATCTCAGGCCAGCACCTGTGGGTCTGCAAGCTCCTTCTAGATGAGGCTGCAGAAGCCAGGGCTGTGTCTGGGTCAAAGGCAGAGAGGGTTCGGGCCTCCTGACCTGGAGTCCAGAGCTTGCCCCCAGCCCCCAACTAGTCAGGGAGGGTAGTGTGAAGGTCTGGCCGGTCTTTTCCCCCAGCAGGCGCAGGTCCGTAAAAGGGGTCCGAGCTCCACCTATCCAGAACTGCCCTTTAGAACACAAGATCCCCCAGCCTTGGACCCACAGAGGGGGAGGGCCGCTGGGGGCTCTACAGGCATAAGCAATGGGGAGCGCCTTGCTGCTAAGCATGGGCCCTGCGCCCGAGGGTGCCGCAGGCCTCCTCTCCCCTCCCCGCCTGCCCGCCCCACTGCCAGCGAGAGGCCATTTTGGAATGTTAATTGGAAACACCGGCTGCAGCCACTCGCCCCCCAGCGCTGCCTCCTCTTTCCACAAGCTCTGAGGCGGCATGATTGGGACTCGGGGCCCCTGAAAACCAGGGCTGGGGCAAGGGACACTGCTTACAGCCGCGCCCCGAGCGCCTGCAAGAGGCGGTGATCCACAGCAGCGCGACCCATGCGAGAATGCTTGGAGTCCCCCAACCCAAATGGTCCCCAAGCTCTGGGAGCCGGGATGGTGCTGAACAAGGCTCCTGCCTTGTCCCTGGCCTTCCACGGACACGCATTCCAGGCTGGAGGAGCTAGACTTGGGTGCCCGGTCGCCTCTGGGGGTCCCAGGAGGAGCCCCTCTCTACTCTTGAGGGGCTCAGCTGGAACCAACGCTGCAATGGCCCCAGTAACAGTTAAAAAGGAAAGCCCAGGCAGGGAAGTTTGTTCAGCCCACTCGAATCGTGCCGAGACAGGGCTGTAGAGGGGGCCCCCACGCCAGGCTACACCCGCACCGCGGGGGCCGGGCTCCCGAGTAGGGCGGATGCGGGCCGGGGGCGACGTGGCGCCAGCGGGGCAGGCTGAGCGCCGGGAGAGCAAGCGGCCTCCGGCGGGGGCGTCAGGGAGCCGCGCTGGAGCCCTAGTCCCGGACCCGCTCGCGCGCTGCCCTCACCTTGGAGGTAGTAGGCCTGGCAGCCGTCGTCGCGCAGCTTTTGCAAGAGCAGGCCGAGCACCGAGGCGGGTGCGCCGGGCTCCGGCTGCCACTCGGCTGTGGCCTCGTCGTAGAGCAGCACGGTGGCCGCCTTGCAGCGCGTGGCGAAGCGCTCCTTGTCGGCGTGGTTGGGGATGATGGAGCGGATAGGCAGGTTGCCCTTGCGCAGGCGGCGCAGCATGAGGCCCGGGATGGCCAGGTTGATGGCCGTCTCGATGTGCGACGACTCGAAGAGCTCGTGCGGCCGGCAGTCGAGCAGCAGCAGGGACGCGCCGCCGCGCGCTTCCAACTCCTCCTGCAGCCACTCGGCGCTCTTGCACGGCATGGCCCCCGCGCCCGTCACCGCTCCCGCCCCGGTGCCCGCGCCGGACCCCACACCGGGCTCCAACCCCGCCCCGGTGCCCCCAGCCGCCGACGCCCCCGAGGCCGACATGTGCGCCCGCACTGGGGGGCCGCGGAGCTGGTTTTTCATGGAGAGCGCGGGTGGCCCGGGGCCGGGGCCGGGCAGTCCTGACCAGGGACCGCGCCCGGGCCGCGCGGGCCCCAGCCGCGTCTCTGGGCGCCCGCCTCCCGCCGAGCTGCGCGCCCGCCGCCCCGGCCTCCCGGCCTCCGTCCCGCCCGGCCCTCCGCGCGCGCCGCGGCCTGACAGCCCCAATTAAACGGCTGCACCCGAGGCCGCGCGCCGAGGCGTCCTCCAGGGGGCGGGACCGCGAGGCCGGCGCCCGGCCTTAAAGGCGCCGCGCCGCCACCGCTCCTCCCCACAGGGCACGGCGGCGCGCTCGCGGCCGGGTGCACCGGGAGAACTGCGCCTGGGCCCGCGCCCCGCCTCAGCGCCGCCGCTGCCTCGTCTTGCGGGGAGCTGGCTGTGACCCGCCTAAGGGGCCCGACCAAGACGTCCCCCTGGGTCCCGTACACCCGCGCTCCCAGCGCCTCGTGGCCCTACGGTGAAGGGCTGCCCTGAGGGCGTCCTAGCGCCTGGCATCCCCTCCCCACAGTCACAGAAGTGGCGTTTCCCCGGGGATGGGGCGGTCACGCTGAGCCAGCCTCCCCTCCTGTGTGTCAACCCCATTCATTCATTCTCTCAGAGTTCATTCAACAAAAGGAAGTTGACCGCCTACTACGTGCCAGACACGGTCATCATGTCAGGCGACTGCATAGTCCCTGTGATGGCCACAGGCTCTGAGACCTTGGAGGGGTCTCACCCCAGCAGGCCTGATCCGGAATAAGCACCCGGACGACTGGCAGAGTAGGACGGCCCAGGGCCGCGCCACCCCAGGTGGGCAGGGGTGGAGAAAACCTGGAAAAGACCAGCCCTGGGAAGAGAGAGCGAGTCCTTTAAGAAAGCCTTCCAAGCGGGTTGGTGACAGGGACCAAGTGAAGCGACACGTGACTTTTCCACAGGGGCGGGTGGGAGGCGGAGCGCTCCTTTATAATCGGCTCGCTTTCCCATCCCTCCTTCCCAACACACCAATCAACTTTTGCGGTAGGCGGGAGTGCGACGCGCAGGTGGCCAATCGCAGCCGAAGGGGACAGTGGGGAAAGGAGGCGGGGTCCGCCGTCGGTTCCACACTGCGCGGGGAAGTGGGCGGGGTCTCCGCGAGAGGGCGGCACCCATTCGGGGACGGGCGGGACAGAGGAGGTGAATGGATCCGCAGGTACCGCTGGAACAAAGCGGCTCGACTCCAGCGGCGCGCGTGCGCAGGGCCTGCCGCGCTTTTCCTAAGGAGCCACGGTTGTCTGCCAGCACAGGGAGCTGGTGGTTGGGCCTTGTGGTCCTGCTCATCTGTCTCGTGGCCAGGCGGAGTGCCCCCACCTCCTTGGGGCTTACCCCTCCTACTCTGCCCGAGACTTGTCGGCTAACAGCTAGCTACCGGCTTCTAACCCCAGCTGGAGAGAGTCGGGGTCAGAGGTGGGGGGCGGGGAGAGAGTGCTGAGATTTGCCTAACGGAGGGCCTCTGGAACCGGGAGGGTTTGAGCTTTCCGTTGACCCTAAGGCAGGAAGAAAGGCGGCCCTGGGGCAGTCTCTGCTCCCCCCAGTCTTCCATGTGAAGCATAGTCTACCTGAAGGGTTTCACCCCTGGCCTCAGGGCTGTGTCCCAAAGGAGCAGGGGTCTCCCCCAGTCACAGCCCCAGAAAGACCACAGCATTGCAGCCAGAGATGGTCTTATCACCCAGGGTTGCCCTGGGGTTGCTAGGCAGAGTCTACTTCTTTGGGGTCCTAGGACCTGCAGAAAGGGCTTTCAGGGCCTGAGAGACCCAGACAGATTCTGCCCTGCCGCTTGCTGATGTGTTGTGTGACCTTTCTGTCTCTCAGTTTTCCTGATGTACAAGAGTGCTGCCCTGGACAGCGCCCAGCCAGTCCATCACAAACCTATCTGGCTGGAAGAGTGCTTCTTGGCCAGCAGTCCAGGTGCTGGTTGTCAGGGATGGAGGCAGCACTCAAACTCGAGGCCTGAGCAGATCCACAGAGAGGGGACCTGCTGGCCAGTGAATCTCCTGGGAGGCTGGTTGAGGAGCTTCGGCTACAGCAGTGCTTGATGAGACGTTGGCCCCTGCTCTCACAACTGAAAGGAGCACCTCCCCTGTGCCCCCAGCGCTCCCGTCCCCCATGTATAAGGAAGAAGCTCCCTGAGAGAGGAAAGGGGGCCTCGCCATCCCTCACATTAGCTCGTGATGGCTTCCTTGCCTCTGCCCCTCTGGACTGCTCTAGCGGGGACACACACCCTGTGACGAGGTGTGGCATTAGAAGAACTCCCTGGGGGGTGGGGGCTTCCTCCATCAGGGATATACAACTAGGCAGGTTTTGGATGAGGGCAGGAGAAAGAGCACGTGTGAAGGGGGTGACAGCGGAAGCAAAGGAACGAAGGAGAATTAACCTGGCCGTATACTCGTACGGTGCCGGCGAGGCCTGGGCCCCCCTCACCCGGGTCGAAGGAGAGGCCCAAAGCCTTGGTTCCTGAGTGGAAGTCCTGCCTCCGGCCTTGAACAGCTAGACACAATGCATAAAGTGGATTGCAGAGGGCTGTCCTAGTGTTAGGGGGAGAAGGGGGTGAGGGGACACAGAGCCCTCTGACTTGCAAGGTCTGGAGCACAGCAGGATCTTGCCCATGGTCAGACAGCAAGAGGCCAGTGCTGTCCCTGCCCAGGGCCTCACGCTGCAACTGTAAGCCTCCCTCAAAGACGCCGGGAGAGGAAACCTGGTGCCCTGGGGGAGGTCTTAGGATCAAAGACATCCTTCTTCTTCAGGAATGTGGCCTTTCCTGCCATCAGGGCTCAGTACTCCCCTCACCTGCAGCTCCTAGGAGAGGTGCCCATTCACCAGGGTCTCCCTGAGGGGTAGGCGTGGGGTCCCTGGGCATGAGCTGGTCTCAGGAGGGTACTGCGGGTGGGGTACGTCTGAGCTCTCTGAGGGCTGTACCCCTTTCCCACATACCTCCAGGCCATTGCACACTGTACTCCCTCAGCTCGGTCATTTTTTGCTCTCACCTTTTGCCTGTCTTCTAAGATCCCAGCTCAGGTGTCACCCTCAGGGAGGCCTCCCCTGGTCCTCCAGGCTAGATTAGCCCCCCTGCTCCGTGCTCCCAGGACACCTGTCCCCCTCATCTTTGTCCTGGACTCTATCACAGTCACTGTTCAACACCCTCCACCAGACTTTCTCCCTTTGGTCACCCAATGTCCACCTCCCCTTAAGCCCATTCCTCCTCTTGCCATCTTTGTCTCATCCCTGTTTACCCAGGTGCCAAGCCCGAACCCATGAGGCATGTTAGGAGTTGCCTTCTGTATTTGAACATATCCAGCCCAGAACTACACAATAAAGGGACCTTCCCAGCAGGGCAAAGCTTGGCCGTGATGGTGGGATGTTTGCTGTGAACAGAGCAGATGTGAACTCACACACACACACACACACACACACACACACGTCCACATGGCTTGTGTGTCACCAAGGAGCGGTGTCACCAAGAATAGTTTAAGCATCTTAGAAGCAGACTTTCCTTTCCCACTAGTGCCCATGGATTTCTTAGAGATGGGCTATCAAGTTTTGAGTGGATATGCCAGGGGGGAGGAGAAGAGGAGGGTCAGTCAGTTCCTTACCCTCCCATCCTAAATGGCTAGCATAGATTTAGGGTGAGCCCCTGCCTGCTCCCGGGCGGGCAGCTTTCTCTAACAGGGGTCTATTTCACATCCTACTACAAGAGCCAAGCAGGGGCTGAGGTAGAGCCAGGCCCTCCAGCCCATGATGCCAGCCTCTGCCCAGGGCAGAACCACCAGGCTGGGGGAGGTCTGCAATCAGAACCCTGCCTGAGGCCCAGACTGGGGATCCCTCTTCTTGGCCCTGAACCTTGGGACAGCTTCTTCCCTATACCTTGGTGAGGTGCCTGCCTGGGTTGCAGTCAGAATAGGTACTGTCTAAGCCAGGCAAGGGGTGGGCCCTGAAAGGCCTGGCAACTCTCCTGCCCTGGACAGGGCTCCTGGCATGTACACGCACACACATGTAAGGACACACACAGTACAGGCACGAGCATACACAGACCTACCTATAGCTCTACCCACTTAAGGGCAATTCAGCCTGCAGGGGTCTGGGGTGAGGTGGCCAGGCCTTCCTCACGGCCCCACCCTCCCTCAGACCCAAGCCCTTGCTGGTACAGGCTCCCCTAAGAACCTAGGTTGGCCGGCCTGGGCAAGTAAGGCTTTCAAACTCTGCTCAGGGCCGACTCGGGACTGGTTTCTGTCCTGGCACGAAGGCCGCAGCCTATGTTGCTCTCCCCGCATTGCAGCTTTCACATCTTCAGCCTCGCATTCGCCCCAGCTTCCCTGGAGAGGTAAGCAGAGCAGGGCTTGTCCGTCTGCTCTACAGATGGGACAGCTGAGGTCTAGGAAGGGAAATGTCTTGCCCAAGGGCCTGGCTCCAGCCCCAGCCGGTTACTCACTTACCCACTGGGCTTGGGCTGAGTCACGGTAGCCCAGGTGATGGGAGGGAAACACATAAACACGGGAAAGTGGGAGGGGTGGCCTGGGGGAGGATGTGCCTGCCTGGGGCTCTCAGCTATGAGCTCCCCCACACGGGCCCTTATGGGCTTCCTGGACAGGCACACACCTGACCGTCTCAAATCATGTTCCGTATCCAGGCTTTGCATCAGCCCTGGGAGGGCTGTAAATCCATCTGACAGATGGGGAAACTGAGGCCCATGGTTATAAATCAAATTGTGGCAGGGGTCTGGCCCCCTGTCTGAGAACTCAGAGCTCCTTTCCCTCAGCCCAGGGGCTCCCAGCTGGCTCTCACGGTGGCTCCAGGCTCCTGCAGGAGGAGGCCCAAGCACAGTCTACTGGGAGCCCCGTGCTCTACCAGCTCTTCCCACGTCTGGGTCGGGGGACAGACTGACTGGAGGCACGGACAGCTACTCACCCCATAATAAGAGGGGACTATATCATGCACACACCGTATGTGCCATCAAATGCCCTTCCCACTTCCATGGCACACCTGGCTCATTCATCCAGGACCCAGTTTCAGAACCCGTCTCTCTCCCATCACTGCACAGTCCGGGCCCTCTTACCTC